CAGGAATGAAGATGAAGTCAGCAAAGATTTTTCTCACTTTGCTGTTTGTAAAATGAGCCCAGAAGGTCAAATGGAAGGAGAAAAATAAACGTGAAAGAAAACCAGCATAATCAGCACAACCAAAGCTAAGTTTATTTTCTTTACAGTTTGAGTGGGGGGGGTAATAGGGTATTAAATCAATTAAGCAACAGAAAGTGGCAGCGGGAGATAAGAAACAGTCTTGAGCTAACTCTGATTTAAAAAGCGGCTATCAACATAAGAAGCTCATATAGTAGAAAAGAAAGTTATTAGGAGGGGGGGAAACAGAAGTAGAAGTAGAAAGAAATGTAAAACATTGATTATCTGAATGATTCTCCTCTGTCGCTTTAAGGAAACTGAAAACAGCTGAATCCAATCAAGCTAGGAAGGTGACACTGCAGAACACTGGAGCGGAGGCAGAGCAGAGCCGAGGGGAGAAAAGATTACGTGGCTGACGTAATGTAATGTGACAAGAAGCTCTCCAGGAGGGACGCAAAGAGGAGTGAAAGGACGAAAGAAGCCAAAGGACTGGAATTAAAGCACAGTGAATGCAGAGAAGCCACACAGTGGAACAAAATCGTCTGGGTGGAATAGACCCTATAATTGTTCAATAGTGAGAGAAACTTGCCTCCTTGGGTTACGCTGCTGTGATCAAACAAAAGGGGGGGAGAAGGGTGAGAAGGGATTTCCAGGTGGAACCATTATCTAAAAGACTAACAAGATCAAAGTTAGGAAACAGGAAAGGATACTGATATAAAAGTAGACATAAAATTGATATAAAGTACAAAATTAATGGCTAACAAGTGACTCCCTAGATTAGTTAACTTTAATATAGATTAAGTAATGGTAAACCAAAAATTAATTAATTATCAAATTAATTAACCAAGTAGTAAATAAATTAATAAAACCTATTAAATACCTGTTATAGGGCTTAGTTGATATTTTTGACATCTAATATAAATTGAAAAAAAGATTAGATCAATTAATAGCTGTGAAATAAAAGATAAATTAATTAAAAACAAAATTAAAGTTATTAATACTATTTAACGATTCTGAGGGAATAGCTCTTCACATTGAATAACGATACTAGTTAAGTGATATGAAAGTTGCTTAATTATTAAATTAATAAATCAAATTGTTTAACCAATATGATTAATATAAATTATGGCATCTGGAGCAAGCAGGAAAACATCTACAGCATCCCCTAGCCAGATAGCAGGACTATCACAATTTAAAACAATGTTACAACGGTGGAGTTGCAAAATATCATACAAAATATTCTTCAACAGGCTGCACAGCAAAACGCAGATGATATAAAAAAGAATTAGAACCAATACAAAACAAATTAGAGCAAATCGCAACACAATTAAAAATGATACTGAGGAAATTAAACTAGAAATTTAAAAAACTAACAAGGTGTACAAACGACTTAGAAGAAAAAGTTGAAGATATAGATCAAGATATACAGGACAAAATCAAAAACCAACAAAATTGAAGAATCATTAATTTTATTAGAGATGGAAAAGGCAGGAACTATTCTTAGATTCCAAAATATATCTGAAAAAATAGACAAAAACTTTAAAAAAGAATTAATTCAAAACATCACAGAACAGTTTAACGTGGGAAGTGAAAAAGAAATAACTGAAGATGTGGAGGCCATCTATAGAAGAAACTCAGCATATGCAAGAAGACATAAAACTCCAAGAGAGGTACATATAAAATTTTACAAAAAAGCAATGAGATCAAATATTGCAGGAAGCAAACAAAAAAACTGATAATAGCGGGAGAAGAAATAACGATCTTAAAACATATCCCATGGCGCGTACGAGAGAGACGTCAAAACTATACCATATTAGCTAACTTATTAAGGAAAAATGGGATACAGTATAGATGGCAAATTCCAGAAGGACTCCTATTTATATACAAAATGAAGAGACATAAAATAGATTCCATCTTTAAATTAGAAAATTTTCTAGAGAGAGAAGGCGAAGATTTAGGATGGCAAAGGCAATCTGACTAAGAGGATGATACAGAAGAAGAGGAAGAAGGAGAAGATAGAGAAGACAGAGAAGATTTGGAAGAAGCAATGAGTACGGCCAAAACACAAGTAGTACAGAAGGGTCATGAAAAGAAAAAAGATTATAAAAAACAACAATTAAAATATAAAACACAATCTCAAATCCAGCCAGCACCTATTATCAACTACTGCGGGTTGTTCCCGCCTTAGCAGCGCTTGCATTCACACATCAGGGAACTGAAATCAACCCGCTCTACACACGGTTTGCTACCACTTTCACCTGGTACTTTTTAAACTCGGGAGGGAAGCGGCACAAGATGGCTTGAGTACAGCTGGGGGATGCCTGACAGATGTGCCTGTGTGAACCCGCCCCTTTAATCCGCTACTGAAACGCTCCTGAAACATTTCGCTGCCGGGCCAAACGGCCAGTCTGAACTTGGCCATAGAGTTGGAAAACGGTTTTATAGGCCAACCCCCTGCTCAGTGCAAAAAACCCAAAAATACAGGATTCTGGACAGGTAGCTCTCCAACCAACTACTTGGGCTCCCCTCCACAGAGACCTTCACCATCCTCCTAGGCAAGTGAAGGATACATTACTAAACTGCCCTTAATATTGGGAAGCTTCTCCAGTTTGGTGTAGTGGTTAGGAGTGCAGACTCTTATCTGGGAGAACTGGGTTCGATTCCCTACTCCTCCAGATGCAGCTGCTGGTATGACCTTGGGTCAGTGATGTTCTCTCAGAGCTGTTCTCTCATGAGCAGTTCTCGAAAGAGCTTTCTCAGCCCCACCTACCTCATAGGGCCTCTGATGTGGGAAGGGGAAGGGAAAGGAGATTGTAAGCTGTTCTGAGACTCCTTCAGATAGTGAAGGGTGGGGAATAATTCCAATCTCCTCCTCCTCCTCCTTCTATTCAACTCAAGTTTACTTTCTAGCAAATGAAGCCTACAAGATCTAATCAGGCCCTCTGAAGCAACAGAAAACAAGTCAATCATCCTCTTCCATGCAACTGCCCTTCAGATATCTATAGAGTGCTATCACCTCCCTACTCAATGTTCACTTCTTTGAGCGAAGCATGGTAGTTTCTTCAAAGTTTCAGCATGAAGATTGTTTTCCACACCCCTGATCAAGCCCAGTGTCAGTATACCCAGAAGTGGGGCAGTTTCTAGGGCCCAGGGCTTCTGTCAGGACCCACGGCTGCTGACTCCCTACCCACACATCTCCTGATGCCTTCACTCCTGGCCTTCCCCTGCCTGCTTGCAGGTGCCTTGTGGCCCATGTTCCCGGCTGCATAGGTTGCCTCACTCTGCCGAGGAAGGGTATTTGAGTGGTGCACACAGCAGCAGTGTTCCTGGTGGTCATAGCAATGGTACAGCTGCACCCACTGCCCAGCACTGTTGAGGAAAGGGTGTGCAAGCAGTGTGGGTGACTGAGACTGTAGGTGGTGGGAAAATTTGTGAGAGGGTCAGGGAAGGATGCATAAATAGATAGGGGCCCATGAGTGGGTGGGCCGGAAGAGGGCCTGCTGATGGTCATGGGGAGGTCTGGGCTTTTTGCCCAGGACCCTCCAAAACCTTAAAACTGGCCCTGCCCTGACTATGTTCTTTGCTTTCTTCTGAACCCACTTGGGTAACTCTGAAAGTTGTTGTAGGCTGTCACTTTGGTTCAGAGGATAAATCCTAACCTGAAAAGAATGTCCTCTCTCCATGTTACCTGCCATAGTGACAGGTAGAAGTGGGGTGCGGTCAAAAGGTGAGACAATTCTTGTAGTATCATTCCTCTGCTTTTCTTTAATCTTCAAGGTCCTCTGTTCTCCAGTACATTTTGGAAACTGAAATTCCCAGAACTTAAATGGTCAATTTCAGATATTCTGGGAAATACTATAGACAAGGGGCAGGGCCCGCGATACTCGCGGGGGGGAGGCAGAGGAAGCAGGAGGAGGAGGTAAGTACCCCCCATCCCGCTGGTTCCCCTGTCTCCTCCACCCCCCCTTGCCTTTCCTCCCCCTTGCCTCCCCCCGGCTCCTCGCCGTTCCCCCCCGCCCCCAAAGCGAGGGCCGGGCGGCGTGCCGTTTGGCTCTCGCTGCTGGTTCCCCCCAGCCCCGAAGCATGCACCGAGGGGCATGCCGCTCAGCCCTCGCTCCACACATCGGGGGCACCTGGGGGGCAGGGAGATTTTCCTGCACATTTGGGGCAATCCCCAGATGTGCAGAAAAATCTAAAAGCTGTAAAAAAAACTATAGGGGGGATACTTAAATCCTCCCAAAAGTAAAGCAAAGCATTCCCTGCACATGCGCAGGGGACACTCTGTGAGTTTTGGGGGGATTTAAACATCCCCCGGTGTTATTTTCCAGGTTTAGGATTTTTGTGCACACGTGGGGACCGCCCCACGTGCGCACAAACCTCTCCCTCCCCCCCTGGTCCCCCCGATGTGCGGATTTAAGTATCCACACACCAGGGGGCGACTTGAGAATTAGATATATAGATAGAATGCACTGGGAGAGAGAGGGAGTGGAAGAACAGAGAAAAATGAAGAGGGACTGGAGAACACTCACTTATCCCTAGCTAAAGCTTGAATTTGGCTTAACTAGGGTTCCTGGATTTTTCTCTGGGGGCTCCACTGTTTAGGAGGTCTTGGCCATTTGCTAGGAAGCTAGATTATGTTGCAACACCTCCTCTGGCCCCAAACTAGCATCTGCAGAGAAGGATGGCCCCCAAGTCTACTGAAACTTGTTCGCCCATGAGCAATGATATCAATAGTGAATCATGTTCTCTCAGTTAACAAAAATACACATGCTACAGTGGGGTGAAATGGAACTTCAGCCTCTTCCCAGTGCTGCTCCTGTTACAAAGCCTCAAAAGATAAGTCAGGTGAGACATCCAAATGAAATGAAAACAGGCCCTTCAGCACTGGGTGCCCTATCTGCCATACAGTATTCAAAACGTTAATCTTCAATTATTCAAATAATTCAAAACCAGAGAAGGATCTAATTGGCTGGAAGGCAGAAGTGTAAACTGGCAGAGTGTCCCACCTGCTGGCCACAAATATCTGCCATAAACTGGCTGGAACTGCACTCTGCATGTAGATCCCTGTTACCAACCTTTACATAATACAAGTGCATTAAGATTTACAGGGGAATGTTGGCAAGTCTTCCATCTAGGGTAAATGCAGCTGGAGGGGAGTGATTTTCAGCCGAAAGTTAGGGAAGGTTGGCACAGCTTTTCTCCCCTCTGCCGAGCTGCAGCCCTAAACAGATGTATTGTGCAATTGGAAAAAATATATATAAAATTAATGGATGATATGAAACATTCAGTCCCATCCTCAGCTACCTGTGCCCAGAATCCAGCAGCCAATTTCATATTCTCATGCACCAGGTCTAAGACATTTTTCAGGGAGTCATCGTCATATCCGAAACGCTTCCCAAAAAGAAGCGTGGAGATAATGTTGGTCACGGCGTGGTTGACAAGACAGAAGGGATCAAAAGGCTCCCCTGTTGCATGAAACAAGAGAAGAAAGGGTAGTGAATTGCCTCATGCACTCTCTCTACAAGCCATGATTTATGAACAGCAGAATCCTTCTAGAAGGCAATGATTTGTCCTGTCATTCCTTAGCTTTGGGGTATTTTGGGATTCCGTCAGAATGCTGGGCTGGGACCTGGCCAAACCCGCTTCCTCCTTTGCTGAAAATGTGGAGTGTGTGTGGAGGGGAATCCCACAGATCAGCACCCTCTCAACTGTGTTACTCACTCTTTCTTTCCTCAAAGCTTTGCAGCAGGTAAGTGGCCTCATCCAGGATCCTCTCCTCCACCGATTTCTTGCCCAGCCCAAAATTCCTGAGAACTGTCAGTGAAAATCTTCGCTGCTCTTTCCATGCTTTTCCGTAGGGCACAGAAATTAAACCTGCAGGAATACACAATAGGAAATATCAAGAACAAGAAGGAGAAGATGAAGGAGAAGGAACAGAGAAGAGAGATTGGATGGCCTTCACTACCCAAAGGAGTCTCAGAGCAGCTTACAAACTCCTTTCCCTTCCCCTCCCCACAACAGACACCCTGTGAGGTAGGTGGGGCAGAGAGAACTCTTGACAGAAACTGCTCTTTTTCAAGGACAGCTGCGTCAGAACTACGGCTTGCCCAAGGTCATCCAGCAGGTGCAAGTGGAGGAGTGGGAAATCAAACCCAGTTCTCCTAGATTAGAGTCCACGCACTTAATCACTACACCAAACTGGCTCACCAAACAAAGCCTCTTAAAATCCTTGCTCTGCACCTTAAATGGTCTGCCACTTCCTAGGTCAAGTCATCAGGGGAAGCCAGACAAATCTTCTTTGCCTTGGCATCCTTCAGTCGGTTCTGCCCAAGGAAATCAGAATTCTGCAAAAATCAGAGCAAGTGAGTCTAGAAGTAGCATCTTAGAAACCAACAAGACTTTTTTTTGGGGGGACAAGATTTCAAGAGTCAAAACGGCATCATTAGTCAACTACTGGATGCGAATCTAGCTCTTCTACTGCAGACCAACACTGCTACTCTCTAACACTGTCTGCCAAAATCAGCCCTAGTCTCCCTTATTTTGCAAAATTAATTCAGTGTATTGCTTTCCACTCTTTGTCCGCTGTGCATTTTATCTGCTTCTCAGATTTGCCACATATTTCCCGGTTCACTTTTCATTATGGTCGCATCATCACAGAAGGATGGATTTTTTTTTTTAAGTGGCAACTAAGGTAATCAGGAAGCTGAATTCTATGATCTGCATAAAATTCTTTGGAGTTGCTGTGCTTTCCACAGTTACTGTGATACGTGTTAGGTGTGGGTGGGTCTGTAGCTATGGTGGGACATTGCTGGGCCATGCCCCCTCACTTTACAGCCACGCCCCTCCAAGTCTCCATGCCAGAAAACTGTTTTTTAAATATTTGTGTATTGTACACCATTTGTGTATCGTGCACCTCACCAGTTCCCTCCGCCCTCACCAGTGCAGCCCTCCCTTCCTGTTTGCCAGCTCCACCCTCCTTTCCTCCCATCAATTCTGCTGTTTGGCTTGGAGAAGTCAAGACTTGTTGGGGCATGGGGTTTGGGTGGGGTGGGGATTGGGAGCGTTGAAGAGCAAAGTCCGGTGTGCACCACGCCGCACCCTGCCCGTCAGTAGCCAGTCCCTCCTGTGCCTTCTGAATCGCCGGTCCTGTGACCTCACCAGCTCCACCCTCCCTTTCTGTTCCCATTCTCAAACTGTGAATGAATGACTATCAATTCTCATCGCACGGCTTGACGGGGCAGGCGGCTGATACTGGCTGAAGAAATTAGCTGTAGAATCATAGAGTTGGAAGGTACCTCCAGGGTTGTCTAGTCCAACCCCCTGCACTATGTAGGGAATTCACAATTACCTCACTCCCACACCCCCAGTGACCCCCTGCTGTATGCTCAGAAGAGGGCCAACAACAAAAAAACCCCTCCAGGATCCCTGGCCAAATTGGCCTGGATGAAATTGCTTCCTGACCCCAAAGTGGTGATAAACGTTTCCCTGGATGTGTAGTTTGAGCCGGGCATCTCAGCATGCCTGGAATTGCGAAATGCTAAATTGCTCTAGATACGTATATGTGTTATCTCCTTTATTAATGGGATAACTCTCTTTGTTTTTGATCATTGGGTTTTATGGTACCCTCTATACTGCATGCTGCTTTCACTTTCTTGATCATCAGATTTTATCGTACCTTCTGCATAGATTTATGGCCATTCGGGTGACTTTGCAGTCAGTAGGCGTTGGCTCGGGGTATTTGAATGTGATTTTAAGCTGCACCTTTCCCTCAGTGCTGAGAAAATGTGGAGCAAATGCCAGATGCAGAACCAGTCAAAGACTAGAAACACAACATTTGAAGAGAGGTGGGGAATTTGGGCGAGTACTGTGTGGACAGTTACCTGATTGGGTGGCTAAAGTGTGACTAAAGCGTGTCCCCTCATGTGGAAAGACCTCCAAATAAGGGGAAAGAGGGCAAGTTTTTTTGGGGGGAGCAGGGTGTTGTTTTTTTAATCCCCGGAGGGATATTTTTATTTTTGCAATACACTACAAACTACAAAGAAAATATGGAGGAAAGGGACTACATCTAGGGACAAAGAAAAGGTAAACACACTATTCTAAAACCCCATGAGGAGGAGATCTTATCCCTGTTAATGAAAGTGTTAGTAATATAAGTGTAAATAAAACAATATACTTGTAGAGTTCTTGTTTGTCTCAGCTTCAGTGTTAACATGTTAATTTGTTAGTTGTTATGAGAGAGCTTTCTGATCAACTTATTCTTTGCTTCAAAAGGCCATTTTCCGAGTCCTTCTGCCTTTACTTTGGTTTTCGGTCTCTAAAGTCATATACTACTCTGGCTGCCTCTGCACCGGTTTCCACAGCAGAGTCCTCCTCCGTTCCAGAGGTGGCAGAGTCACTTGATTTCGTTTCTTCCTCTTTGGCTTTAAAGGTGGAATCAATCTTTTCTCTTTTATTGTTGATCTTGAAGATGGCACCCTCCAGGATCGCCCACCTATACGAAATTCCATTAGTTTGAAGAAAAGAAATTAAGTCCTTATAGTTTTTCCTCTTTTGACGAATTTCAAATGGAATGTCTTTTAGAGTTTTAATGATTACATTTCCCATTTTCAGTGGAGTTGCTGATGTTGCCTTTAAAATAGCATCTTTGGTCTGTCTTCTTGAGAATCTGACCACAATTTCTCCAGGCAGGCTATTTTTTAAAATATAATTGGAGTAAGTCCTGTAAGCCATCTCCATCTCTTTTACCAGTTCACCCGCTGTTAAGCCTATTGTTGGAGCGATGATCTCGCTAAGTATCTTCCTCAGATCCTCCTTCTCTGCCTCAGGAACTCCCTGGAATCTGAGAATCATGTTAGCTCTTTCCATCTGCAGCTGTAACAAACGGTTTTCTTGTAGATTTTGCTTTGTTTTCACATCTCCCATCCTTTTCTTCATTTTCTTGCTTGTGGTGTCCAACTCCTTAATTTTCCCAGCTGCCTGCTCCACCTTCTCCGTTTCTTTCAGTTGGAGCTGCTGAGATGCAAAGTTTTTATTCATTACAGTCAGTAGCTGGTTAATACCATTGAGTTGCTCCATCACTGGCTTGAGCATATCCGCTAGCATTTTCATGACATCTGTTCCTCCTCCGGTTTTGGGCTCTGGCTGCCAGGTGGTTTCGTTTTCAGCCTTCTTTGCACGGCTGCCATTTTTTACGATTTGTTTACAGTTTCTGACGCTTCCCTCCGACTCTAAAGATCACTCCCACGCTGTCAGCAATCAAATAAGCCTCTCAAAACACACTCACTGTTTTTCCTCCCCCTTCCCCCTTTGTCTCGCTTATCAGTCTTTTCGCATAAGAGGCGTCCCTCTTTGTGATCCGCTTTCCCGTGGGGGGGGGGTAATTTGCTTTTTATAGTCGTCCACTTAGTTTGAACTCACATTCATTGTCGGTCAGTTTCTGTGACCTCGCTTGCTTCAACACTGTTCCGCTCGATCTCCAGCGCTTGTCTCGGTCAAACCAGCTTGTGCCTGAAGGCCATGCAGTAGCTGGACTGTCAGGGCAGAAGGGAGCCTCAATTCTCCGGCTTTACGCCATCGAAGAGGCTACCCCTCAAAAGCCCTCTGGCCTGGAGCCTATCCCAAAGGCTCCGTGGGGGCGCTACTTGAGGTAGCGCACCTCCAACCCGCTGGTGTGTGGATCGTTCCCCCACAGTCCTGGGAGAACATTCGCAATCACTGGTCCATAAACCAGAAGTCAGAGGAGCAGGTTTTGAGAGGCACTCTGTTGCATAACAAGGGATTAAGCAAAGGAAAATGAATATAAAACATGTGTACTTTATTCATTAAAGTTGAGGCCATTGTGACTTGTGAGAAAGGAATGCAGCAGGACAAAGGTGCATAAGAGAACTTTACTTAGATTGTAATACTATGGATAAATTATTCCTGTCAGGTCAGAATAAAAATATAAAGAATAGACATGAGTTTCAGCTTGCTGCCTGAATGAACCATTTCCATGCATATAAGGGGTGAAGGAGTGGGGAAGCATCTGTTACTACTTTGTTAGATAATGGGGAAATATTAACTCCCCTCCTTCTGTTCATAACGTTAAGAAAGGTTTGCTACTATAATACTATTAAGTACATTATATGTTGTCAGGCACCGGTGCAATTTGGTATTTAAGAGCCTTCTGTGTGTGATTGCGCCTGTTTCCTCTTGAGGCTTCCATTCTGCAAAGGGCCTTGTCTGAGTTTGTGGTTGACTATTGCATCGTCATCTCTATAATATGGTCAGGTAGGATGTTCTGGCTCCTATCTATTCTTCCATTAACTCAACTCCCATTGTACTGCAAATAGCCCCACCGCTAGGCTTGCAGAGCTCTAAGACTAGCTGTTTATGCACTCAAAGGTGAAGGAAAGTGGCGACAGAAGGCAACAAAATGGAGGCTTAAGGGTCATGAAAACACTGTGAGTTTTTCACAACCATATGGCACTCCAAGTATGATGTTCTGTTGGGGGGGGGGATCATAATTAAACATTATGATAAAAGCATCTGATCATCTGGAAAGCCCCCTAAGTTTTGGCTTGTGCCATGGAAGCAGAATAGCAAAGGCTATTCAGTGCAATGGGTAACTCTCACAAGAAACAGATAAATAACACCAAAGGAAACTGTAACTTGGAAGTGATCTTATACCTTTTCTCTTAGTGATGACCTCTATGACAGGGTTGAGTGCCCTTCCAGCAAATTCCATTCCTTTCGTCACAAGGACCTCTTTCACCAGTGGAAACCCGTGAACGAACACCATAAGAGTTCCTCCCATTTGCAGACTGTAGACAGGGCCATATTTTTGTGCTAACTGAAATTTTTTAAAAAGTAGTTAGCAGAAACCCTGGAACAAGAGCTTATGCTCGAGTGCTGTTTTATCTATATACAACAGTAGACTTGAGTACAGTTATTTGAAGAAAGGTGGTAATATCCCCACCTTTTAAAACAAAATATTGATTTGGAAAACAGGATGCTAATAATCTCTTATTATTTTGTACCCTGCGGGGAGGGCGGGGTAAAAATGTTAACAATAAATAAACAAACAAATTTCTGTTTTGAAAACCCGCATGGCTATTCATAACCTGTCTGAGATAAAAGCCACTACCTGAAGAAGGTACATGGGGTTTTGTGGTTTCCTTGTTGCTGGGACAGCTACAGGTAAAGCACAGCAGCGGTGGGGCTCCCACATGGCAGATTTCCCTGCCCCACTCCCCTGGAAGGGGCCATTCCCTCTCCCATGGGCTCCCAGGGCTTTGACAGTTTCTTAATTGGCACCAGAATATCATTATATCGATACATCATTTTAACAATAGGTGTAGCAGGTTCTTTGAATCCCCAGTTTTCCTTTTAAAAGTAAGCCTCTAGCGCTTTCCCTTGTGAATATATGCCTTTTTCCTTATATCTCTGCAACAGAAGAGGCTAGAGACTTTTTAAAATAATGAAAGCTGGGAATTCAGAGAACCCCTACATCTATTGTTACAATGGTGTATCAATATAATGATATTCTAGTGCTGATTAAGGCCCAATCTGCATTTGCTATGCAAAGCTGTTTCATTCTGCTGTGGCACCAGCTTCCTTTGCCGTCCATTTGGCTCAGTATTTTATTTTATTTTTTCTCTTTAGGTCTATACTTTAGAACCACTGGGCAAGTGATTGCACTTTTAAAGATCTCATTCGCATATTTATTCTGTGCCTGGTGGTTTTATTCTGGAAGTAAGTTTATGGCATATTAAAGGACAAAAACGGTAGGGACCTAACAGAAGCAGAAGAGATTAGGAAAAGATGGCAAGAATACAC